ATAGATTATTACAAATAATATTTGTAAAAATTATTATGATATTGTACATTATATGGTACATTAAGTACTGTATTGTACACATGGTGATATAATTCGTCATATTATTTTTACAAATAAGATTAATTTAATCTCATTATATTTGGTGTTTATAGATAATTAATTGCATATAAATAATTATAGATAAACAATTAATTGCACAATGGTTGTTAAATAGTCAGCAAAAGCAAACTGTGTACTCAACAAATATAATGTGAAAAATATCATATGTTATAGTTGCAATTGTGTTTTGAAATTATAGACTTGACCAAGTACAACATGTTATCATTAGAAATGTTGCCTGAAATTTTGGAAACACATTGTTTATTGTAATATTTATCTAGATAAATAATAGATTTAATACAAATAATTTTAGTATAAATAGTTGACAATTTACAATACAAAATTATAATAAATGTTTATAAGTTATAAATTATAACATAGTTATAACAAAGTAAGTATTTCTCAAATAAAATTTATAAATTATATTTTATTAACTTCAACAATTAATCAATATAACTTATTTAAATTTAACTTAGGTACCACAAAATTACAGCAATGAATTCAAAGCTAACAATCGCCGCACTATTGGCAGTTATAGTAGTTATGGTAAATTTTGGACAGTCAACAGCAGACTGTTGTTTCGCTCAACTCAACTGCCCTGACCAGGGTCGTACATGCAAAGATTGCACCAAGGCCGACATTTATTGCGGCGTGGGCAAATGCAACGTGGTGGGCTGCAATTGCGACGGTGGATGCCGGTCAGGCAATCCCAACCTTTGGTGTTGGAATATAGCTTCGCATTGCAAAACTATTATGGCCACAACCAATGACCTGCCTATCAATAATGCCACGCATGTGTTCACTCGTTTGGACACAGACCGGGACGGGAGGGCCAGTTATGTGGAGGTCCTTAGCTTTGCTCAGACCGAGGGTTTGGCCGCCGATAAGGATATGAAATATGAGTTTTATTTGATGGACAAAAATGGCGACGGATTTCTGTCGGTCAATGAAATCGATGGTTAAAAATTTAATTCTTGTTTAATTTATTTATATTTATTGGTAATTAATTTATTGTTAGTGTACAGTATATGAGATGTGTTTATTATTTAAATAATTAAATTAATTTTTTTATGCATTTAATATTAGCAAAATTAATTTTTGTAATTTTTTTATAAATACATTTAATTATTAAATTTAATTAAACTGTTTACAAAATTAAACAAATTATAAGACATGTTACTACATCTGTTATGTAGGTCAATTGATAGGAACCAATTGATACAACAATGCAGTCAATACATTGCATAAACAATTTAGGTGTATTTATAATTAAATTACTAAAATTTAAGAATAATTATTCTAATTAATTTATATAAATAATTGTTATAATAAAGTAAATAAACAAAATAAATTATCATTTTACTTAGTTATAAATCTGATCTGCAATAGTTCATAAATTTGTTTATTATTATATAATTGATTTGTTTTTTATTAGTTATAGGTATTTGTGAATATATTTTAGCCATTAAAAAGGATTATTGTAATACTATGAAACAATTTTAGTGTAATTTTAAATTTTAACTAAAAAGTAAACTACTTTAGATAATTAATCATTAATAATTTAAATTATTTTACAAAATTATCACAAAATACTTAACACAAAACTATAATTATAATTTGTTACAACATTTTCAACATTATTTATTAGATACAAGACAATAGGAATTTAATTATTTAAAATATAATTATAGATTTTGAACAGGGTAACATCATCATTCTAGAAAATTAATGAATACCCATAAATGTTTATTGTGGTTCTTCAACAAAGCATTTACCATCTTCGCAATACTCTACATGCGTTTCCGTTAGCTCACAATCGTTATCAGTTTTGCATTTAGTGGGCACATGCTCCATTTTCGATTCCTCATCAGGTTGTTCATTAATATAGTTTCTCCTTGGATCTTGTTCAGTAGCAACTTCATTGATCGTGGTGGACAGTACCAATAAAGATACCAATAGCAATAAAATTACATTGTTCATGGTAACTAACAAAATAATTGATGTTGAAAGCAGATCTATTGTAAAATATATTCAAACCACTTACTTTAAGTAAAATGTTTCATGTGAATTTAACCAATTGTAATTTTATATTTTTCTATTGAAGTTACAATAATTTTTTCTTTTATTTAAATATATTTTAAGGGTTTGCCCACAGAAGCGGTCACTAATATTGAAACAAATATAAAATTTGTGTTTAGTTTGAATTAAAGTGTTTGCGAACTGAAAACAGAAAACAATTTATTGGATGTTTACAAAATATAACATAAAAATATGGTTTTACAAGTTTTTAATAAATTAGATTATTAAATTTCAATTAAATTCTTAAGTGAACAGCATTTATAAAATAAGAAAATTTTTATTTTATATTAGATAATATAAACATCATTTTTTCAAAGAAAATTACATTTCTAACCATCAATTTCGTTAACAGTCAGAAATCCGTCGCTATTTTTGTCCATCAAATAAAACTCATATTTCATATCCTTATCGGCGGCCAAACCCTCGGTCTGAGCAAAGCTAAGGACCTCAGTATAACTGGCCCTCCCGTCCCGGTCTGTGTCCAAAGCGGTAAATATTTGTGTGACATTATTTATAACCACATTGTTATTAGTAGACATCCCATTAGTTTTGCACCCGGGTGCAATGTTCCAGCACAATTAACTTGAGTCACTTTTTCGGCAGCCACCATCGCAATTACAGCAAAAGATATTACATTTGTCCAAGCTGCAATATGTGTTGGCCTCGCTACAATCTCGACATGTACGACCCTGGTCAGGGCACTTGAGTAGAGCTGTACAACAATCTGCGGCTGAGGGTTCAAAATTGACCTCAACTACTATGACGGCCAATAAGGTAGCGATTGTTAGCTTTGAATTCATTGCGCTTGGTTGTTTTGTTCTTATTGTTATAATAATAGAATGTTATTTAATTTTATTATAACTTTCTTGTATAACGAGCTATTTATACTAAAAATTGTCAAAATAAATCAACTTATTGTGTAGAATTTACAGGAATTATATGCAATGATAAACCTATTGTACTTGGTCGACTTTGTATTTTTAAATAATTACTATAAATTATAGTCTATAATATTATTGCAAAATCAATGTGTAACTAAATAATGTTTGGCTTAAAACTTTATACATTTATTTATTAAATTTGCCTATGTTATTAGATTGAATTATAATGTAGCAATAAAATTATCATTACAAATAATATTTATAAAAATTATTATAATATTGTACATTATACAGAACATTAAATACTGTAGTGAACACATGGTGATATAATTCGTCATATTATTTTTACAAATAGGATTAATTTAATCTCATTATATTTGTTATCTATGGATAATTAGACAATTGATTGCACAATGGTTGTTAAATACAAACTCTGTACTCAACAAATATAATGTGAAAAATATCATATGTTATAGTTGCAATTTTGTTTTGAAATTATAGACTTGACCAAGTACAAAATGTTATCATTAAAAATGTTGCCTTATATTTTGGAAACAATTATGGTTTATGTTAATAAATAATAAAGTTGATCTGAATAATTTTAGTATAAATAGTTGTGTATTTACAATACAAAGTTATATTAAATCTTTATAAGTTATAAATTATAACATAGTTATAACAAAGTAAGTATTTCCTAAATAAAATTTAAAAATTTTATATAATTAAATTCAGAAATTATTTTAATTAACCTAGGTATCATAAAATTACAGCAATGAATTCAAAACTAACAATCGCCGCCCTATTGGCCCTCGTAGTAGTTATGGGCAATTTTGGACAGTCAACGGCTGACTGTTGTTTCGCTCAACTCAACTGCCCTGACCAGGGTCGTACTTGCAAAGATTGTACCAAGGCCGACATTTATTGCGGCGTGGGCAAATGCAACGTGGTGGGCTGCAATTGCGACGGTGGGTGCCGGTCAGGCAATCCCAACCTTTGGTGTTGGAATATAGCTTCCCATTGCAAAACTATTATGGCCACAACCAATGACCTGGCTATCAATAATGCCACTTATGTGTTCGCTCGTTTAGACACAGACCGGGACGGGAGGGCCAGTTATGTGGAAGTCCTTAGCTTTGCTCAGACCGAGGGTTTGGCCGCCGATAAGGATATGAAGTATGAGTTTTATTTGATGGATAAAAATGGAGACGGATTTCTGTCGGTCAATGAAATTGATGGTTAAAAATGTAATTCAAGTTTAATTTATTTATATTTATTAGTAATTAATTTATTGTTAGTTTAAGTTATATGGGATGTTGTCTTTATTCTTGAAATAATTAAATAAACCTTTTTACGCATTTAATATTTGCAAAATTAATTTTTTACTTTTTTATAAATACAATTTATTTTTTAAAATTTAATTAAACATAAGTTATTATGAAACAACTTATTATTACTCTTATGTAGACCATATGAATTTGAATAATTAATTAAAATTATTCAAAATAAAATAAATATATATTTCTACATATTTATTGATAAACTGTACATGTAATTAATATAAGTTTATTTGTACATCATAGAAGGTCTTTATAATAAATGATATTGAGTTATAATCTATAATTATTTAATTTTAAAATTAAAATATATATAAAATATGTAGGAATTAGTTATCTAGACGATTAACAATTAACCTTTATATTTTAGTACAAACATATTTGAAGTACTAATATTATTATTTATCAAAATCACTGTACTTCATGTTATAAAATATAATTAGAACTTGAAAAACTTTCAGAGTCTAAAATTTAGACTGCACTAATTGTTATCTGTATACAATGACTTATGCTTATGACTGATTAATTTTAAAATAGTATATAATAATAGAAAATTTCATTATAATTTATTTAATAAATATAGTAATATTAAAATAACAAAATTATAATGGAAATTTCAATATATCTGTCGGTCCTGTATATCGCTGTCTGTAATGGACTGCCATTTGCCGATCAATTGGCCGCCAATGATGTGGACAATAGCCATAAATGGGTCGTATTGTGCGCCGGGAGTAACGGTTGGATCAATTATGCCGATCAGGTATAGTGGAGTTTACAATTGAATTAAACAAAATTAATTATTAAAATTTTTATCAATTTTAATTAGGCATTAATATACAGGGCTTACCATCAGTTCCGCTCGTATGGCATACCGGAGAGCAATATAATTGTCATGCATTACGACGATATCGCAAACAACAGTAAAAACCCTAACCCAGGGGTTGTAATTACCGAGAAAGGTGGTGAAAATTGGTACCATGATATTCCCAAAGATTATGTCGGCGCCGCTGTTAATCCCACCGTAATTATTATTATTTATTGTGAATTACCAAAAGAAATATTAATAATTTTTGTTATTTTATCTAGAACTTTTTAAAAGTAATAAGTGGTGACCAAGAATTGCACGCAAAAGGTAGGAAAGTAGTGAACAGTGGGCCAACCGATCACGTGTTTTTGTATTTTGGCGATCATGGTGGACCAGGTAATAGATTTTAGAAAATATTCCAGGTGCAATTATTTACAATTACTAATAATTTTTATGAGCAGGATTAATTAGATTTAATAATGGCAAAGTTTTATATGCTGATGATCTAATAAACACAATAATAAACATGCACAAACAGAAAAAATATGCCATGCTTGGTTTCTACATTGATACATGCGAATCTGGTAAGTTTTGTAAATTAAAAATAAATTAAATTATGTTTAATAATTAATCATATTTTAAAAAAATACTTTATTTGCCAGGATCAATGTTTAACATAGTGTTACCAAGCAACATTAACGCTTAGGCGGTCAGCTCATCTCTACCCGATGAAGATAGTCATTTTATGAATTATGATGATGAATTGAATATATTCTATAGTATAGATTACTTATTTATTATTTATAATGAATATTGCTAAATATAATTAAATCATATTTAATTCACCAGGCTCATATTTTGCCGACTATTGGCTAACTAATAATGAGATAACAGATATGGAAAAGGAAACACTTAATCAACAATACGATTATGTCGTCGAAAAGACAAAGAGTGTTCAACACGCACAACATTATGGAGATTTAAGCATGGGCAAATTGCACGTTAATGAGTTTTTAGGCCACAAGCAAAACGGTGTTTTTAATACTCTAGTTCATAGATGCTGAGCGGGGCAATAATTAGGGCAAATGTGATTATATAAAGTGCAACTGTTCATACATAGTGTTATAGTAATAGAAAGGAAGGGGTGAATAATATGAGTATGAATTCAATTCAAGGGCACTATATTTAGTCAATCATTATAACGTTTATAATGAGTAAATCACGAAACAATAAGCATGCGCATTATTTATCTCAGCATCTCTGCTCTAGTTAATACACCTGTGAAAATAATGAAACAGTCAGCAAATGGGAAGTTGCTTTATTTCTAGTACAACAGCGAATTAACAAATCTGTGGCTAATAGTGAAAAATTAGGGTAAATTTCATCATTTAACAAATTATTTTTGCATATTTATTAAATTTTTGTTTTTAACAGATATGTGAAACATTTGAAAAATCTATTGAATGGCAGACAAACTGTTGATAAACACATCAATGATTACGTGAATAGTATTCAACACTTACTGACAGTCGATAGCAATGCTATTCTAAACACTAAACAAGAGCTCAATAATAGACAGTGTTATCGAAAACTTGTCGACACTTTCAACGAAAATTGCTTTGATTTGACACAAGTATTTTAGACATTGATTTGACAATATGTTTATTTGATTGATATGATTTTATTTTGTAAAATTAATTAATTAATTTTATTTATTAATTACAGGACACTTATGTTTTACGCAAATTACAAGTATTTGTGAATATTTGTGAAACAATGCGTGAATCGAGTGATGCGGACATCGCTGTCAACCAATTGAGACAACACTGCAGTCAATACACTAACAATCAATTTGGATATATTTTATAAATTATGTGAAAACTAATTATGCTTGAATTATCAAAAATTAAAAATGAATTTTTCATTAAGCAATTCAATTTATAATTAATAATATAATTTTAAAATTAATTTGTTTATAAATATTAATTTAATTTAATTTAAACAAAAAATTACCAGCAAAAACTTTACGTTAATTTTTACAATAATTTGGAATAAGAATTACATTTTTACCTAGCATATAATTGTTTCATGCATATTTTATAATCAGATGTAATAAAATGACATAATTTACACAAAGTAAGCTTATATGCATGTTGGATGTAAAGTTGCTTTGGATTATAATTAATAAACCTACAACTATCTAGAAAATAAATAATTAGCAATCATTAAATCATCATTAGATTCTACAAACATTATGCAATATAAAATTTAAATTAACATCGCATAATTGTAGTTATGCAATTTTGAATTGAGCAGCAAATTATTTATGCCAACTCTCTAATTATTATTCCAAACAATCAGATTAAAACAGCCAGGTATATCATATGACATAGAGTACTTAAAAGTTAATGATGTGTTATTGACAATGAAATCGGCACAAGTGTTTATCGCTTATAAAAATACGACAAAATATTACTTTCGATAAATGTAATAATTATAAAATATCATTTTATTTATTATTGAGCTGTGTTTATAATTGATTTCACAATAAAATAATAATTATGCATTTTGCACATAACATTGACATAAATGTATTTAATATTAGACTAATATTATGTTGATATACCAATTAATTGCGACCATTTATCACACAATTTAGATGTACAGAATATTATTAGATTTAAATGTTTTAACAATTAATTTACAACAATTTAAAATAATAATAAACATCCAGGTGGTATTTGATAATAAGTGTTTTTAGTATAATTTTCTAAGAAAATCTCACTCGAATTGGTCTACCTGACATTATAATGATAAAGTCAATTATGAGCGATTAAATAACATAAGATACAGTATATATGGATCTGTATTAAAAATCATACCAATTTTTGGACTGTAGTACTTGTTATCTAAATGAGAACTATGCTTGTGACTAGATTAAACATGCCTGGATTAGTTGATAAATAGTATATAATAATAGAGAATTTCAATTACATTTAGTTTATAAAAATTTATTTATTTTATACTAAAAATATAATGAAAGTTGCAGTACTTTTGTCGGTTCTGTATATTGCGGTCTGCAATGGACTGCCAACGGCTAATGCCGGGCAGAAATGGGTCGTATTGTGTGCCGGGAGTAACGGGTGGGACAACTACGCCGATCAAGTATATTAATTTAGCAAATAATCTAAGCATGATAATAATGTTTTATTTTTAAACCCATGTTAATTAGGCTTTAGTATACCGGGGATACCATCTGTTCAGGTCTTATGGTATACCTGAGAGCAATATAATTATTATGCATTACGACGATATCGCACACAACAAGGCTAACCCTAACCCAGGGGTTGTGATCAACAAGAAAGGTGGTCCAAATTTGTACCATGATATTCCCAAAGACTATGTCGGAACCGATGTTAACCCTACGGTAATTTCAAGAAGTTTAATTATTGTTTGTTACTTAATAAATTTAATAATTATAAATAATTTTTGTTATTAATCTAGAACTTTTTGAAAGTAATTAGTGGTGACCAAGAATTAGCCGCTAAGGGCAAGAAAGTGGTCAACAGTGGGCCAAACGACCACGTGTTTCTGTATTTTGGCGATCATGGTGCACCAGGTAATTGATATAATAAAGTGAAAATTTTATATAGAAAATATAAATTATTAATAATTATTCATTATAAGGTTTGGTTGCTTTTAACCATGGCAAAGTTTTATACTCTGATGATTTAATAAACAAAATTAAGAGCATGCATAAACAGAATAAATACGCCAAGCTCGGTTTCTATATTGATACTTGCGAATCAGGTAATTATCTTAAACTATAAATTAATAATGCAAATAAGTAATAATAGGAAATAAAAATATTATACCTACTTGTTAACAAATAATTTATTCACCAGGCTCAATGTTTGACAAAATACTACCAAATAACATTAACGCATATGCTGTCAGTTCATCTCGGCCAGATGAAGATAGTAACTTTTTACATTACGATGATGAATTGGACACATATATAAGTATGATTCAATTTATTATATTATAGCATAATGCTTAATATGATCAAAGAATAAATACTATTAAATAATCTGTTATTCACCAGGCTCATATTTTGCCGATTATTGGCTGACTAATGACGAGAATAATGATCTGGAAAAAGAAACACTTGATCAACAGTACGAGGATCTGGTCGCTAAAACCAAGAGTGTTCAGCACGCACAGCATTATGGTGATTTGACCATTGGCAAATTGCACGTAGCTGACTTTTTAGGCCATAAGTCAAGCAGTTTGTTAAGTGACCGTGTTAATACACATGTACAAAATAACGAGACAGTCAGTAAATGGGATGTGGCTATGAATTTAGTACAAAAGCGAATTAATGCTGCCACGAAGACTAATGACAAATTAAGGTAAATCTTTAATTGTTAATTTTTAAAATACAATTGTCAATAATATTTTTTTAAATTATCTATAGACATGTGGAAGACTTGGAAAATCTATTGAATGGCAGACAATATGTTGATAAACACATCAATGATTACGTGAATAGTATTCAACACTTACTGACAGTCGATAGCAATGCTATTCTAAACACTAAACAAGAGCTCAATAATAGACAGTGTTATCGAAAATTGGTCGACACTTTCAATGAAAATTGCTTTGATTTGACACAAGTATATAAATCTTTAAACTTTTTATAATTTAAACTTTATTTGTTAATTTTATTATTAATAATTTATAGGATACTTATGTTTTACGCAAATTGCAAACATTTGTGAATATTTGTGAAACAATGCGTGAATCGAGTGATGCGGACATCGCTGTCAACCAATTGATACAACACTGCCGTCAAAATGCAAACAATCAATTTGGATATATTTTATAAATATAATGAATTAAATATCTATAAAATTTAAATTGATTGACAAACAAATGTTAAATAAAGTTGCAATATTAAAACAATTTTTACATTTATCCTAAAAACTCTTGATACTTATTTATTCAATTTTTATTAATAATTACTTATTATATTCAATATGAACTTAAACAATAAACCAAAAGGTATATTGTATGGGATCGGGGCTTATATTTAATATTGCATTAAATTGCAATTATTTTTTTGCGTATAATGAATGTTTAATTTGTTACATGATTAAAATAATACAAAAAAATGTAGAATTAATCCTTAATGATTCTGTTATTCTCTCTGTAATGTCAATTATGAATCTTCCTGTTAAATTTACATATATAGACTGATCAATTTATGTTTCACTGATATAATATTTATTAAACTTAATCAGTGATAAATTATCACTATTTAATATTTATTTAATCAAACTCTTAAGTGATTGTTATTATAAATAATTTTTTGTTGGGATTAGGTTAAGTTAGGTTAGGTCATTTTTAGTGGATTTTTAATTTTTACCGTACATGTTAAACGTGGTTGCGGTTACTGCACTTAAATTTATAATACATTAATTACAATTTATAAAAATTACAAAACCCGTGTATTAGCAGTTAATGTTAAATCAATCCAGGTGATATATTGAGAGATTAAAGTATTCAGGGTATAGGTATCTATTGTGTATATCAAACACGTTTAAAACCAAAATGTATTTATTATATCATTATTATATTTAAAACTTATAGTTTGTTATTATCAATAATTTTGACATGATACGCATTTCATAAATTCTTGCAAACAATATTAAATAATATTTACTAAATATACATAGCAAACATCCAGGTGGTCTTTTATTACACAGTACATTTTATTAATTTCTAAGAATATATTATTCGCTTTGGTCTACAAAAAATAAGAATCATAATCTATCATAAACGATTAAAAGACATTACTTACAATATAAGTACAATACAAGTTGCAATAAATCATGCCAACATTCCGACTTTAATGTGCCTAAATGTGACCAAATTTCATATGCCTCTACATGGTTTATTGAATAAATATTGTATATAATAACTAAAAATATAGTAAGTTTTGTTTAACAAGTTTTGTTATATACTTTACTTTTCATCATTTGTATTGTTATAAAATTATATCATAATGAAAGTTGCATTACTATTATCCGTCTTATATGTCGCTGTTTGTAATGGACTGCCGGCGGCTAACGCTGGCCAGAAATGGGTCGTATTGTGCGCCGGGAGTAACGGGTGGGGCAACTATGCCGATCAGGTACATTAACATTTGAAATTAAATTAAGAAATGTAACTAATTTATTGTTTTAAATCTATGTTATTTAGGCTTTAGTATACAGGGGTTACCATCTCTTCCGATCATACGGTATACCGGAGAGTAATATAATTATTATGCATTATGACGATATTGCACACAACAAGGCTAACCCTAACCCAGGGGTTGTGATCAACCAAATTGGGGGTAAAAATTTGTATCATGATATCCCTAAAGATTATGTCGGATCCGATGTTAATCCTACGGTAATTTTGCTATTTTAATTTTATTAACAAATTATATAATTAATATTTTTTGTTATTTAATGTAGAACTTTTTGAAAGTAATTAGTGGTGACCAAGAATTAGCTGCAAAGGGCAAGAAAGTGGTTAATAGTGGACCAAACGATCACGTGTTTCTGTATTTTGGCGATCATGGTGCACCAGGTAATTTATTAATTAATTTTCTAAAAATGTTGAGCAAGTTAATTATTATAAATTTATTTATTGGACTAAAGGCCTGGTTGCGTTCAACGGTGGTAAAGTGCTACATGCTACCGATTTAATTAAAACATTAAAGAACATGCACGAACAGAAAAAATACGCCAAGCTCGTTTTTCACATTGATACCTGCGAATCTGGTAAATAAAAAATTTATATTATAACAAAAATTACAGATGAATTATACATAAACAATTTTTTAAAACTACATTACATAATTTTCTCACCAAGGTTCAATGTTTAATAATATATTACCCAAAGACATCAACGCATATGCGGTCACTTCATCAAAACCTGATCAAGATAGTTACTTTTTGACTTATGATAAAGAATTGGGCACATATATTAGTAAGCATTTAGGCTACAATATTAATTAACCCCGCAATAAATATAATGATAACTATAAAATTATTTACCAGGCTCACTATTTGCCGACACATGGCTTTCAAACGATGAAACATCAAATCTTGAAACGGAAACATTTGATCAACAATACGAGATTTTAGTCGAAAAAACAAAGAATTCGCAAAATGCACAACATTATGGTGATCTTAGTCTGGGTAAATTGCATGTGGATGAATTTTTAGGCCATAAATCAAGCGGTGTGTTGAATGACCGTGTTAATACACATGTGCAGAACAATGAAACTGTAAGCAAATGGGATGTGGAGTTGAGTTTAGTACAAAAGCGTATTAATTCTGCTAAAGGGACCAACGAGAAATTAGGGTAATTTTTAATAAATTATAACTAAATAAAATTTTTAATTATATTTGCATTTTCTACAGACATGTGGAAGACTTGAAAAATCTATTAAATGGAAGACAATATGTGGACAAACATATGTCTGATTACGTGAATAGTATTCAACACTTACTGACAGTCGATAGCAATGCTATTCTAAACACTAAACAAGAGCTCAATAATAGACAGTGTTATCGAAAATTTGTCGACACATTCAGCGAAAATTGTTTTGATTTGACACAAGTATATAGACTTTAAAATTTTACTATATTAATTTTATAATACATAATCCATAATATTTATAGGATACATATGTTTTGCGCAAATTACAAGTGTTTGTGAATATTTGTGAAACAATGCGTGAATCGAGTGATGCGGACATCGCTGTCAACCAATTGATACAACACTGCAGTCTAAATACTAACAAACAATTTGGATATATTTTATAAATTATATAAAATATAACTAAACTAAAATTAATAAACTGATACATAAATAAAAAATAATAATTAAAAATTTTATTAAATTATTCTCAAAAATGGTAAAAGTAAAAATGCTAAAATCAAAGGATATTGTACTTTACAATTTATTTAACTATTAAATTTATTAAAATACAAATTCTTAATTAGAAAATAACATGCAATACTATTTTTTTTATAAATTAATTAATGCTAATTAATGTGTCCCCAACGCACTTAATGATAGTAATCATTATAATTAGTAACATTAATTTAAATATAATTATTTGATAAAGGAATCGTTGTCTAACATAATCATTAACTCCAATATAAAAACAAAAACGCAATAATTTTTACACAAAATTTTTCATTCATAACTAAAATACCAAATAAATATAGTTATTATTTAAAATTATTAATAAATTTTTATTTTAATAAATTGTGATTAAATATAATGTCTGGCATTAAATGCAATGAATTATTGCCTAAAGAATTACAAATACAGTCAGCAGAGAATCAATTGTATAGATGCGGGTTATCACTATATAAACCCAAAATTCCCACAAAACGACCATGGTACTCACACCCATTATTCATTACAATATTATTATTGTACATCATAACAACCAACATCATTTTTATAATAAATAATGGAGAATGCGAAACAATTACCATAATTTTTGGCGATTTTTCGCATATTATTGGCGCCGGAATTCATATAAAATTAACCTTTATTGTTGGCTCAATTTTTGTAGTCAGCACACAATTAATCTATTATTACAACTTTTGGTGTGGTATTGAACCAACATTTCTACGGGTATTTACTATGATGTCAGGTATGGTTACCCCCTATAGTGTCGGTCTCTCTGACCCCCAGTCTGTGCAACAATTATTGAAAATAACTAAAATTATATTTAAAATAAATAACATTTTATTAAAATATACTACACCTGTTCTCGGACTGGTAGGACTTATACCATATTTAATTTATAAACCAATATTAATCGCTATAATATATGGTATTCCCAACTCGATTATATTGGCTTTAGTATCGTATAATGCATACAGCATTGATTTATGGCAATTGACATATTTTTATTTGCTATCATATTATTTAAAACTTAAAATTAATTTACAAAATCATAGAATTAATAATTCTAAAAGTTGTCGAAATATTTTGTTTGTATTGAAAACATTAAATGGTATTTATAATGAAATTAATGGTTATAATGAGACTTACTTTTCTAAGTATATACCAATCGTATGGGTTATATACGGTTTATTTATTAGCAATACAATATACATATGTATTTTTGTCAACCTTTCCGCTATAATGAGAATTATTTTATTATATATTTGTGTTTTTGTATTGATTATGTTTATTATTATGATATTCACAGCATCGTCAGTTAATTCAACAGCAACTAAAATGTATAAACAATTTAACATTTATTTTGTAAAATGCAATCATATTAAATATCACCAACAAATCAAAATAAATTAAAAATATTAAAATTTTATAAATGTATACCTAATATATTGTGCACGTAATAATTGGCAACTATTTGTAAAAATTATATAGTTATTATAGAAAAAATGTCTTTAAAATAATTGTTAGAAAAACTGTAAATTTAAAATATTTAATAAATATTGCAACGATTATTCCATAATCTTACACCTATTAGATTACCAATGCTGTTCTTATTAATTACTCTACAATACGATCACTTATTGCCTATCGATATGCCCCACTATCGCTATCCTCATTATTATTCTAAATCCAGTGTCTCTCTTTTCCTACAATGTCTCTATTACCACTGTCTCTCTTTTCCTACAGTGTCTCTATTCCCACTGTCTCTCTTTTCCTATTCTATCTTTAATTCTATACAATCTCTACTTTTCCTATTGTCGCATAAGCCTTGCGACTTGGTCTCCGCAGGTGACTCCAGTATCTGCATCTATAATCCTCCAATCAGCTAGCACCACTCTCCCCGTACGCATGGTATTTTACTAATCTTTCGCACTGCAGTGGCAGCCATTGTTGCCCTTTATAAGGCAGTGCAACTCTCAATTCTATGTTCTTCTTCGTTTATCTTTGCCCGGCTCTTCTCTTCTTCTTTAGCTCTCCTTTAGAGCTCTACCGTTGGCTCAGTTGTAGGCAGTAGGCCTACGTATCATTCCTACAAACTATTCACACCATCAATTCCTATATGTATTATGTGCACTTATATCTAAATAAAGTAAGAGATCTCGATAACACACTTGTACCATTATTCGACAATTGAAGCACATAGATAGGCCTGGGGCCTATCCAGAGACGATTTTAAGAAACCCAAGTCGACTTCACCACCAAGGTAAGGACATTGGTCTATTGCGACCAACATACAGGGTAAGCCGGCTATGAAGGAGCCAACTATTGATAAATAGGATGGGATAGGTAATGAATAGGGAATGGTAACGGGATAACGGTTCGGGAGGCCTTGATCGAAAGAGCACTTACCATCAGCAAATAGGAGAACCCCTCGCTGAGCCGTTATAAACCGTTACAATATTATATAATAAAATGAATTATATTTTGTAATCAATAATTTATCTGAATGTGTAAATTTAATATATAATTTACACAAGTTCATTGTTACTTTATTTACAATATTATTTTAAGTTAAATAAGTTCAGTAATTATCGCAATTCAAATAAGGATAATTTGAACTGTAAAGAATTGTACGGTACTAACTGAGATTTGTATAATTTAGCTATCTATATCGTACCATAATTCATTGATTATGATTTATGAAAGTCAAGTGCCACAGACAATATACAGTGCATCCCTAAATTTTATAATGTGTATACACTTTAGTATTCAGTGTATTTTTTACTATCTTGAATTGTTACGGTATTTAATAATTTTACCGGCAATTAATTATAAAATATGTTAGCTTATACACATGATATTTATATAAAATATCATTATTATCCAAGATTATTTTTAACATACAAACACTTTATGTACAAATAAATAATTGACAATGACCTAAATATAAAATAACATAAAAACTTTTATATACCTTATAATTGTAGGATTTAATGGTAAAATTACGGGAGGTAATAGATTAAGTTTATTAATAATTATATTTACATTTAAGTTCACTAATTCTGCTCCTATTGTAAGGCAACTTAAGTGATAATCTAATTTAAAATTATTGTGTATAGGTGGCTTAATTCAGTATTTTATTACATTAAGTGCATTAAATTTCTGTGATATAACCGGCAATTAGTAGCAAGCATTATTAAATAAATGTAATTAAAAATCATGTGAGGTGGCACATTTATATAGATTAGATTTAATTAGCTGTAAATCTTCAAACATTGAAATAGATAAAAAATGAAGTGATTTATTTAATAAGTATACTGTATATTAATATTATAAATATAACACTAGAAATAAATCATTTTGTAATTATCTTTTTTATGTGTAAGTGGTTAATTTCTTAATAATTGCTGTTCTAAAAAATGAATATGGTAAAAATAACATTTAATAAATTGTAAATTTTAAAAATTTTATTTAATGTGTTTACGATATACTAGAAGACAGACCCGACTTTCGATGGCAATAGCAATGAGGAACAATCACTTGAGCCTAAGAAAAAATACCCCCGATCTATACCATTCATTATTGTCAATGAATTCTGTGAACGATTTGCATATATTGGCATGCGAGGTAAATATAACAGTGTAACATTGATTTTAAAGTTATATAGTTAATTAATTAAAAGAGGTATTCTTAAGTAGTAATTATCATCAGTATATTGTTTATTATTAAATATTTTTTAAATAGTTAAACAAAAATATTATTTTTAATTAAATACTGTAAACTTAATTATAATTTTATTAATAAGTTATTATAACATGAACTTACTGTACAAATAAATTTACTACCACATTATTTAATGAGTATTTTAGTATTTGTTTATAATTTCATTATACTTATTGTAATGCTAAAAATAATTACAATTAATTAATTAACAGCCATCTTGGTCATATTTCTCACACAAATCATCGGCTATTCTGAGGACGCGTCCACTGAATACTACCATCTATTTTCAATGACCGCATATTTTTGTCCCATTTTTGGCGCTATTATTGCCGACACATATCTCGGCAAATACAGGCATGATTATAATTTAATCACAATTAAATAACTAATCTCAATAAATTTAATTAACATTCCCAATAGGACTATATTTTCATTGACAATAGTGTATGTTATCGGTTGTATTGTGTTATCATATTCAGCAGTGGCTGAGAAAAGGTAAGTAATATAGACTTATTTAAATTTTTTTAATTGCATGCAATTATATTTTTATTATAATTAAAATTTATTTAAACTAGCTGGATCATGTGGATTGGCCTGGCTTCAATTGCATTGGGCACGGGAGGCATAAAACCATGGTAATTAAATGTTTATCACTACTGTAGATTATACAGCGACAATAATTATGCAATTATAATATAAGTTATTTATACTTTATTTATATGTTAACTAATAGTTTTGTACAGTGCAAACTACTCTATAAGAAATAACTTTTTGTTTGTTGGACATTTAATTCCAAAATTATGTTTTTTAAAATAAACATGCTGCATAGTTTTTAGCAGAAATAACAAGTAATTATGTAAAAAAATATTAACAATTAATTTTTCTAAGCGTATCGGCATTTGGTGGTGATCAATTTGGACCTGGTCAAGAAAAGCAACTGGCCAAATATTTTTCATTTTTCTACATGGCCATAAACGCTGGCGGGTTTGTGACCACATTTGTGACCCCTATTATGCGCGAAGACGTCCATTGTTTTGGTCGTGACTCGTGTTTCCCGTTGGCATTTGGTATACCCGCCGTGTTAATGTTAACGGCCCTGGTGCTTTTTGTCTCCGGCCGATATATTACCAGTTACGTTATGGTACAGCCACAGAAAGAAAGTGTGCTTGTCAAGTTTGTTAAATGTATTTTTGTAAGTAAACTAAACACATATCTATGTTATTTAGTTTATCCAGACTAGTAATTATTTAGCTATAGTTAATATGAATATTAACTGTAATTTGTTTTAATTATAAAATAGATATCGCTATCGAGAAAGTTGTTTAGTAAGGGACCGAAACGTGATCACTGGCTAGATTATTCTGATGATAAATTTGACGTATGTAAAAGTTATTTAAATTTCATATCGGCTATTATTTAAACAATTAATTTAAAATTTATTATAATCTATTATTTTTTAGACAAAAACTATTGCTGATATTAAGGCAGTATTGAGGGTATTATTATTGTATGTACCTCTACCAATATTTTGGGCCTTGTACAATCAACAGGTATAGTAATTTTCACCATGAAATTTTCATAGAAAACAGCACAATAATAAAAATTACAAAATAGGGTTCCCGATGGACACTACAGGCAACAAAAATGGACGGTAAACTGGGCAGTTTTCGGATTAAACCTGATCAAATACAAATAGTCAATTCAAAATAGAAAACAGCACAATAATAAAAATTACAAAATAGGGTTCCCGATGGACACTACAGGCAACAAAAATGGACGGTAAACTGGGCAGTTTTCGGATTAAACCTGATCAAATACAAATAGTCAATTCAATATTCATCTTGTTATTTATACCTCTGTTTGATTATATAATATACCCGCTATTTGCCAAATGTGGCATGCTCAAAAAGCCACTTCAGAGAATGGTTGTGGGCGGTGTTCTAGCGGGTCTGGCGTTTGCTATTTGTGGTTTCTATCAGATAACGATCGAAAAGCATTTGCCACCAACCCTATCTGGTCACTCTATTCACATGTCAATAGTAAATGGATTGAATAGTAAGATTACGGTGAAAAATAACTTACTGTTTCCCGAGAAAAGTCTATCGCTAGAGAAGTACAACATTCATACCGTACCAAACGTTGATATAAACGAGTTAACATCGAAATGGCTAACGTTTAACATTACTCTTAATGATGAGACAAACATACCGGGTTGTTTACCAAATCGAGAATATTCCATGCAATTAAGTCCAAGTTTCCAGAGAAGTGGCATTTTATTTATAACCGAGAGTATTTGCGACCCGAAAAACGTGTTAAAAATACTTGAATTCAACAAGGCCACAGACCTACTCGCCAAACCAGAAGGTGGCGGCGCTTTAGCCGCCATTGCCTACAATATACGTGACTCAACCACTAAACCGGCCTTAAATATCAAGAATGACGCATACATTACATTCAAGTTTAAAAATAGTGAGTTTACAGAATATTTTAATTCTACGGCCGATTTTGGTCACCCTATTGTCACCGGCGATACTAAACGCTATGAGGGTTACGTGTCGTACAAAAAGGAGCTTAATGTTCATAAGGGCGGTGCATACGAATTATTATTGCTCGACGATGGTGAGAAAAGCACCGGACACGAGGCTATTAAGGGTATGGATTTTCTTCAGGGCGGAGCCTATGTGTCAATTGTTTATACTGATAAAAATGTGAGTTGTTTCAAATAAGCTTGATGGGTAAGTTGCTTTTAAATTTTGTTATATTTTTATAACAGGGTAAATTGGCGGGTGTAACTCATAATTTAGTCGAGGCTAACTCATTATCGGTATATTTACAAATTGTACAATACGCTATGTTAACAGCCGGTGAAATTATGTTCTCGATTACCGGGTTGGAGTTTTCATATTCGCAGGTATTATAATAATTAAATCTAACTAAAATAACTTTTTATAATTACATTTTATGTTGTCTATTATTTAGGCACCTGTTAGTATGAAATCATTAGTGTCGGCCGCATGGTGTTTAACCGTATCATTTGGTGATCTAATAATATTTATAATATCATCGTCAAAATTATTTGAAAAACAGGTAAATTAATAGTTAAAATTAATTATTTGAATTATGTATAAGACAACTATACCATGATAATTTATACTGTTGTTTTTGCAGTCTAGCGAGTTTTTTTTCTTTGCTGGTCTAATTGTGGCCGATATGATTGTGTTTGCGATAATCGCATACTTTTATAAACCCTACCAGAATGACCAGGGTAAACAGGATGATGGCATTAAAGTTGATGACAATGATAGCAACTCTATAGATGAAAATGTTTTAAATGGAAAAAGTTAATTTAAATGACATGGTTATATAATTTGTGTTATTAGACATTGTAAATATTATTTATTAAGTAAATTTCATTTATATTTTTTAATTAATTTATACTTTATTACATAAATTATGTACAACTATGTAATATTTATTGGTATTTTTTTTATTAACACACAATAACTTATTGTCAATAAGTCTAAATACAATATGTTAATTAATTTAAAGAACTCATTGATACATTTTTACTTTTGGTAAAATTAATAATGAGTTATTATAATAATAATTAAAATTAAATGAAATTAAAAATATGTTAGTTAATTAATTATTATGATATAACTTTTAGAATATTTTTTAATGAATGATTACGTTTTTTAAAAACATGCTTATTCAATTACAAAAAACATTTATTTAATTAGAAAAATGTCATTTCATTGAATTGACTATTTGTATTTGATCAGGTTTAATCCGAAAACTGCCCAGTTTACCGTCCATTTTTGTTGCCTGTAGTGTCCATCGGGAACCCTATTTTGTAATTTTTATTATTGTGCTGTTTTCTATAAAAATTTCATAGTGAAAATTACTATACCTGTTGATTGTACAAGGCCCAAAATATTGGTAGAGGTACATACAATAATAATACCCTCAATACTGCCTTAATATCAGCAATTGTTTTGGTCTAAATAATAATAAATTATAATAAATTAAATTAATTTTTTAAATAATAACTGATATGAAATTTAAATAACTTTTACATACGTCAAATTTATCATCTGAATAATCTAACCAGTGATCACGTTTCGGTCCCTTACTTAACAACTTTCTCGATAGCGATATCTATTTTATAATTAAAACAAATTACAGTTAATATTTATATTAACTATAGCTAAATAATTACTAGTCTGGTTAAACTAGATAACATAAGTATGTGTTTATTTTTACTTACAAAAATACATTTAACAAACTTGACGAGAACACTTTCTTTCTGTGGCTGTACCATAACGTAACTAGTAATATATCGGCCGGAAATAAAAAGCACCAGGGCGGTTAACATTAACACCGCGGGTACACCAAATGCCAACGGGAAACACGAGTCACGACCAAAACAATGGACGTCTTCTCGCATAATAGGGGTCACAAATGTGGTCACAAACCCGCCGGCGTTTATGGCCATGTAGAAAAATGAAAAATATTTGGCCAGTTGCTTTTCTTGACCAGGTCCAAATTGATCGCCACCAAATGCCGATACGCTTCGAAAAAATTAATTGTTAGTAATTTAATACATAATTACTGTGTATTTTTTCTTAAAACTATGAAGCATGTTTATAAAAATCATGATATTGGAATTATAATGTCCTACATACAAAAAAGTTATTCCTTATAGAGAAAAGTTGCATTATACAAAACTATTTTAGTTAACGTACAAATATTGAAGTGATTCATATATTGCAATCATTATACAAGAATGTCAAACATGTTTTATAATAATAGTAACAATACTTAAATGCAAACATTGTTATATAATTATGAATAACTTATTGTTAATCACATTATGAATCTGGCTTTACTTTCAATCACTTGTTTTATTAAATTGTTTATAAGACTTCTTATGTTAAATGAAATACACTTTAAGATTCCTAATAAAAGCCTAATATTATATTCTCGTAACTCGTAATACATTTAATGGATTAAGTGTCCCAAAATTGCCTGTCATCTCAATATATTATAATTGCATAATTATTATTACTTTATAATCTAATGATAAACATTTAATTACCATGGTTTTATGCCTCCGGTGCCCAATGCGATTGAAGCCAGGCCAATCCACATGATCCAGCTAGTGTAAATAAATTTTAATTATAATTAAAATATAATTGCATGCAATAAAGCAAATTTAAATAAATCTATATTACTTACCTTTTCTCAGCCACTGCTGAATACGATAACACAATACAACCGATAACATACACTATTGTCAATGAAAATATAGTCCTATTGTAAATGTGTAATTAAATTATTAAGATCAGTTATATAATTGTGATTAAATATTTATATCATGCCTGTATTTGCCGAGATATGTGTCGGCAATAATAGCGCCAAAAATGGGACAAAAATATGCGGTCATTGAAAATAGATGGTAGTATTCAGTGGACGCGTCCTCAGAATAGCCGATGATTTGTGTAAGAAATATGACCAAGATGGCTATTAATTAATTAATTATAATAGATTTTTAAAATTACAAAGGGTAAAATAAAATTATAAACAAATACTAAAATACTCATTGAATACTGTAGTAGTATTTGTAAGTTTATGTTATAATAAGATTATAATTCAGTCTACAGTATTTAATTAAAAATCACATTTTTGTCTAACTATTTTAAAAATTGTAATGATAAATAATATAACAATAATAATTACTACTTAAAACTAGTTTAATAAATTAATTATATACCTTTAATATTAATGTAAATTTGTTATATTTACCTCGCATGCCAATATATGAAAATCGTTCACAGAATTCATTGGCAATAATAAATGGTATAGATCGGGGGTATTTTTTCTTAGGCTCAAGTGATTGATCCTTATTGTCATTGTCATCGAGATTTGAGTCTGTTTTCTAGTATATCGTAAAAATATTAAATAAAATTATGAAAATTTAACATTTATTAAATATTATTTTTACCATATTTATTTTTTTAAACACCAATTACTAAAAAAATTAAGGCTAACCACTTACACATAAATAGATAAATTACAAAATGATTTATTTCTAGTGTTATATTTATAATATTAATATACAGTATATTTATTAAATAAATCACTTCATTTTTAATCTATTTCAATGTTTGAAGATTTACAGCTAATTAAATCTAATCTATATAATTGTGCCACCTCACACGATTTTTAATTATATTTATTTAATACTTGCTACTAATTGCCGGTTATATCACAAGAATTTAATGCACTTAACGTAATAAAATACCGAATTAAGCCACCTATACATAATAATTTCAAACTCGATTATCACTTAATTTGCTTTACAATAGGGACAGAGTAAGTGAACTTAAATGTAAATATAATTATTGATAAAATTAATCTATTACCTCCCGTAATTTTACCATTAAATCCTACAATTATAAAGTATATAAAAGTTTTTATATTATTTTATATTTAGGTCATTGTCAATTATTTAGTTGAATATAAAATGTTTGTCTGTTAAAAATAATCTTGGATAATAATGATATTTTTATATAAATATCATGTGTAAGCAAACATATTTTATAATTAATTGTCGGTAAAATTATTAAATACCATAACAATTTAAGATAGTAGAAAATACACGGACTACTAAAGTGTATACACATTATAAAATTTAGCAGGAGTGAGCAAATAGGCTAAAAATCTAGACTGGCAACACTATGCCCCATAGAAAATACATTATAGCAATGCCCGCCAATGCCCAATTATGCCCGCTTTGCTCATCTATGAAATTTAGGAATGCACTGTATATTGTCTGTGGCACTTGACTTTCATAAATCATTATCAATGAATTATGGTACGATATAGATTATAAGGTCTATGTAGTTTTTTAAAAGTAAGATAGCTAAATTATACAAATCTCAGCTAGTACCGTACAATTCTTTACAGTTCAAATTATCTTCATTTGAATTGCGATAATTACTAAACTTATTTAACTTAAAATAATACTGTAAATAAAGTAACAATGAACGTGTGTAAATTATATATTGAATTTACACATTCAGATAAATTATTGATCACACAATATAATTCATTTTATTATATTTATTAAATATTTGAAATTTACAGTTTTTCTAACAATTATTTTAAAGACATTTATTCTATAATAACAATATAATTTGTATGTCAATTATTACGTGCACAATATATTAAGTATACATTTATAAAATTTTAATTAATTTTGATTTGTTGGTGATATTTAATATGATTGCATTTTACAAAATAAATGTTAAATTGTTTATACATTTTAGTTGCTTTTGAATTAACTGACGATGCTGTGAATATCATAATTATAAACATAATCACTACAAAAATGCAAATATATAATAAAATAATTCTCATTATAGCGGAAAGGTTGACAAAAATACATATGTATATTGTATTGCTAATAAATAAGCCGTATATAACCCATACGATTGGTATATACTTAGAAAAGTAAGTCTTATTATAATCATTAATTTCATTATAAATACTATTTAATGACTTCAATACAAACAGAATATTTCGAAAACTTTTAGAATTATTAATTCTATGATTTTGTAAATTAATTTTAAGTTTTAAATAATATGATAGCAAATAAAAATATGTTAATTGCCATAAATCAATGCTGTATGCATTATACGATACTAAAGCCAATATAATCGAGTTGGGAATACCATATATTATAGCGATTAATATTGGTTTATAAATTAAATATGGTATAAGTCCTACCAGTCCGAGAACAGGTGTCGTATATTTTAATAAAATGTTATTTATTTTAAATATAATTTTAGTTATTTTCAATAATTGTTGCACAGACTGGGGGTCAGAGAGACCGACACTATAGGGGGTAACCATACCTGACATCATTGCAAACACCCGGAGAAATGTGGGTTCAATACCGCACCAGTAGTTGTAATAATAGATTAATTGTGTGCTGAGTACAAAAATTGAGCCAACAATGAAGGTTAATTTTATATGAATACCGGCGCCAATAATATGCGAAAAGTCGCCAAAAATTATGGTAATTGTTTCGCATTCTCCATTATTTATTATAAAAATGATGTTGGTTGTTATGATGTACAATAATAACATTGTGATGAATGATGGGTGTGAGTACCATGGTCGTTTTGTGGAAATTTTTGGTTTATATCGTGATAGCCCGCATCTATACAATTGATTCTCTGCTGACTGTATTTGTAATTCTTTAGGCAATAATTCATTGCATTTAATAATAGCCATTATTTGTAACCTTAAAATTCACAGTTTTATAAAATACGAGCTTGTTAATAATTTAATATAATAAATATATTTATTTATTATTTTAGTTATGAATAAAAAATTATGAATAAGAATTATTGTGCTATTATTGTTTATATATGAGTTGATGATTAGTTTAGAAAACAATACCCTCATCAAATAATTACATTTTAATTAATTTTACTAATTATAATTATTACTATCATTAAGTGCGTTGGGGACACATTAATTAGCATAAATTAATTGATAAAAAAAAACAGTATTGCATGTTATTTTCTAATTAAGAATTTGTATTTTATAAAATGATATTAAATTTAATCCTTTGATTTTAACAAATATTTTTTTATAATTACTTTTAAAATTTTTAAGAATAATCAAATAAAATTTTAAATTATTATTTTTAGTTTAAATATAAGTTTGGTGATTATTATTTTTAGTTCAGCTATATTTCATATTTTATAAAATATATCCAAATTGTTTGTCAGTGTATTGACTGCAGTGTTGTCTCAATTGGTTGACAGCGATGTCCGCATCACTCGATTCACGCATTGTTTCGCAAATATTTACAAATACTTGTAATTTGCGTAAAACGTAAGTATCCTATAATTAATAAACACATATGAATAATAAAAATAATAAAGTAAAATTTTAAAGTTTATATACTTGTGTCAAATCAAAACAATTTTCGCTGAATGTGTCGACAAGTTGTCGATAACACTGTCTATTATTGAGCTCTTGTTTAGTGTTTAGAATAGCATTGCTATCGACTGTCAGTAAGTGTTGAACACTATTCACGTAATCATTGATGTGTTTATCAACATATTGTCTGCCATTCAATAGATTTTTCAAGTCTTCCACATGTCTATAGAAAATCCAAATATAATTAAAAATTCTAATTAGTTATTAGGAATTATAAATTACCCTAATTTCTCGTTGGTTCCTTTAGCAGCATTAATACGCTTTTGTACTAAACTTAGTTCTACATCCCATTTGCTGACAGTTTCATTGTTCTGCACATGTGTATCAGCACGATCATTCAACACACCGCTTGATTTATGGCCTAAAAATTCAGCCACGTGCAATTTGCCCAGGCTAAGATCACCATAATGTTGTGCATTTTGTGAATTCTTTGTCTTTTCGACTAAATACTCGTATTGTTGATCAAATGTTTCCGTTTCAAGATTTGAGGTTTCGTCGTTCGAAAGCCATGTGTCGGCAAATAGTGAGCCTGGTGAATAATTTTATAGTTATCATTATATTTATTGCGGTGTTAATTAATATTTTAGTCTAAATGCTTACTAATATATGTGCCCAATTCTTTATCATAAGTCAAAAAGTAACTATCTTGATCAGGTTTTGATGAAGTGACCGCATATGCGTTGATGTCTTTGGGTAATATATTATTAAACATTGA